AAAACCAGAAGTGGTGTTACAGGGATAAGTGTCATTAAAAAGAATACTTAAAATCTATCAGTTAGATTATCTGGCAATACTCATTATCAATATATTGATAGTAGCAGTACTGAAACATGGCACTGAGAATTTCTGTGTATCTATAGACTGCCTGACCAAGAGATGAGGGCATCAGTTCCCATATACATGAAGAGCTTTTTATATCTGCTCTGTCACAGAGCTGAAGTAACCAGTTGGCAACATCAGTCATCATGCACAGCAACTATATAAACAGATGGTGACAGAAGGCCTTTAAAGCTAATAAACATAAGCACAACCACTTTTCATGGCGATAAAAAATATTTACTCATGAAGTAGTTATCAGAATTTATTCAATATTTTGATTTCAGCAGCAGAATTATTAAGTGAAAAGCTCAGAAAACTTCTCTGAACCACTAACTGAGGGCTTTCCCAAGTAACTTTCACTTATGAATCCCTGTCAAATTCACATCCTAAATAATGGGCTAATAGATCTATTATCAGAATTTTGAAATAAGAATGGTATCTTGTCACAGAAGTTCTGGAAAGGTAAAAAAAAATAACAAAAAACAACAAAAAAAAAACCCCACCCAAACAAACAAACACACCCAAACCCAAAAAACCAAAAAAACCCCAAAAACTTCTGTTTGATTAAATAATAAATTTACGTATTATTTTGCTCAGCTACAGATTATTTTTGTAGCAATGCCTCAAGTAAGAAAACAAGACCCACTTTAGCCTAGTCCCTACTAGGCTAGACCTAGAGAACTTCCTACTTTACTTGCACAATTATGAGTTTCACTCCCTACTTTTACAGTGCTATAGACAAGCAAAAATATTACTATTTACAGATAAGAAAATGCAGCTTATTACTTGAACTTAGCAGTCAGGAAAAACTTTGATTTAATGCAAAGTAATACATAAAAGCATTAAATAATGTACCACAGGTACTTAAGCATTTCATTAGTGAGACAAAGTATTGAAAGGTTTAAAGCCTTTATCTCAACACGAAATAATCTGAATACCTCTTCTCCAATTTTGCAACATTGCAGAAAGCACATCTGAAATTTGCAGCATGTGCAAATTAACTTCTGCAGCCTGCCTGGAAAACCAACAATTTCAGGTTCGTTTTTATTACGGGAAAAGCAGTAAACAAAGAAAATGTACAAGTCAGCTCTCTAGATTGGCTATGGCTCAACACAGGTGAAGTTATTTATAGAGAAAAGTCTCTAAACCAATAGATCTCAGTATTGATAGCTAACAGCAAAAAGGCTTTTAATAAGCCTTGGTCTCTGATTGGTTGTAAACAGATGACTGAAATGAAGATTTCTAGTTAAGCGTTCATTTGGTAGAAGTGCTCATATAGCCAGTCACAAATTAAGGGGATCTTCTGGTATTCGCCTAATTCATGTGCTGCGTGTAACAGCATCTTACAGGGACAGCCCTCCAGCAACACTGAAGCCAAGCACACATCCTGGTTCATTTCTGTTACATCCTTGGCATAAAAAGGGAAGAATATAATCAAGAAATATGGCACTTAGAGTACAATTTAATCACTAATTTGGAATTAAAATTAATTGGAATTAAAGTTAATTACATTCACTATTTCTTAGACTCTTTAATCTGTAGTATATTTGTTTCATTAAAAAATACATCTTTGAAAGAACAAATGCTGTATCAAGATTACCTTCCATTACTCTGGAGACTGAATGCTGGTACATCTTCCTACACATAAAGAAACTGCCATCTCTATTTCCACATCCTATGCCAAAACTAATTAGACATGAAGTTTTTACTTTAAAGCATTGGGAAGGTGAAAAATTAAACCCATGAGCTTGAGAACATCTCAAGCTAAAGATCTGGAAAATAATTGGATTTCTATTTGGCACTATTTTAGTACATTTTCCCACAATATGCAGGCAGCTCCCATGCAGGAGGATTTCTGTGAAGTCCTACACACTTGCTGCTCACCTGCATCTCCATTTAACACAAATGCACAGGATTTTAGCCAAGAGGCATGTCAATAGTACTACACTTACATTCCTATCAGATTCACATCCTCACATTCACTCAGAAAGTATTCTTCAACTGTCCAAAGATCTGTTGATTCAGAAACTGAACAGTTTCTGCAGCAGTTTGGGGTAAGAAAATAACCCCAGCTCTCACCTATTTAGTTACACTACCAAGGTCTACATAAAACAGTACAGCACAACATCTAAGCAAAGAAAAAAAGGCCTTTTTTGGCAATTTATGGTGAAATGAGGAAGGGAAACAAATGCTCATATAAGCAATTCAAAAGCAAACAACTTGTTTCAATTTTTATTTGGAATTTATCTCAATCAATTCTTTAAGCAAGGGGTAAGAACTGTCAAGTGCATCATGCAGTATGTCTCACAACTTAAAATGATATTTTCTGAAACAACTGTAATTGCATTTTCCGTTTATTTCAAAAGCAATTTTGTCTTCCCAGAAGACAGTTTACCACAGAAAGGAAATGGTCCTCTGTACAGATGAACTTTTCTCCTGAGTGTGTTGTCTAATGGAGGCTCAAACTCTGCACCAGAGGCAACCCCAGGGTTACCCTGGATTTGAAGGGCTCGGGCAGAGAAGGGAAGAGTTATCCAGAGCCCTGGGAGGATCCCTAATTTGCAGCTTCTCTGGTCCTTCTCATCTGCTCTGGTCAGCTGTTAAGAGGACTGGGATGTAAACTGGGAGTAGCTATCCTAGTTTCTGAGGGAATTCAGCACCAGTACACCCTGGGAATGTTTTAGCCCAAATAGCTAGTACTTCAAATAATATAATGGATTAAAGCAGGAAGTATTTGATTCTTGTCTTAGATCCCTTTTCTCAATAAAATCTTAAAATCTGACACATAGAAAATTACTCCTCCTGCTATGAAATTGCTGATATACACCTTAAAACAGCAGATTGCTTTAGGAAGGCACAACACAGTATTTATTATTGTTCTTATCTCTAATAAAAATAATGTTAAAGATTATATATAGGATGTTTTAGAAACAAATTAAATCAAGCTGTTTGTCTTCTTCAGTTATACTTCAGAGATTTTAAACAGAAACTGATACCTGTCATGTACACACAGTTGAAAATTACCTTGCTGCAAAGTCCATGAATCATACAGACAGTTCCTACCACACAGGTGTTGAGTTTTCTCTACTTATGTCTCACTTCAGATGGACCAAAACTTTGTATGAAATTAATGAAGTTAGTGAAACTTCTGGTTGTGAAGACAAAAAAAATTACCTTTTAATCCACCCCAGTGGTGTTTTTATTCTTTTTTACTGATGCTACTCAAATGTGAGTCTTCTGGTGGCACCTCACATGCTATATGAAAGTAAAGAAGATATAGCTCCTCTTTTATTATCGCAATTACCACTTTCATGCCTGCTAGAATTCATTCTGAAGTATGCCATTTTTAATTTCCTCCAGCAAACTGATTTTGATTCAACTGCTTAGCACATAAATACTCGAATGGAGGACACAGATAGTGTAATAACTCCTGCCGCGAGAAAGGATGAATCAAACAGAAATACGGTGCAGACTTGCTGAGTTTGACAAACTGCCTGTAAATTGTACACATTATTTCAGTTATAGGAACATACAAAATAAAACTCCCTAATTATCTTATCTCTTACAATATTTAAAAACTAAGAAATTTAACATGCTGATTTAGTTATTCTCAGCTTTCAATGCACAGCTTGTTAAATGTTTTACTGTAATGCAGTCTTGTTTAGAAAGGAGGGTAGGCATGGTACTGTCATTGCTTCAAATACAGCTGTGTGACTGAGACCCCGGAGAGACCCACGTGGTTCTCACATTGCCATGTCCCATGCTCAGTCTCAAATACATCCACATACATGTGCTACAAACAGCCTGACACTGCAAGCAGCTGATAATTGAGTGTGCTCGTAAATCAGAGAGAACACAGCTGAAAGCAGGATAGGAGTTAAGCACATTAACCTTAAGATCTACATGCCTGAGCAAACCAGCTAATCACATTCTTCATTTAACCTCTGTGTTTGTGCAATGATATTCCAACCTACAGAACAAGGCGGAAGTAATTACCTGATAAGGACTAATTGCTACAATACCTCTCACCACCTTCTTTCCTTATGCATTTACAAAATATTTTGTACAGAAATTGAGCTCTAGCTAATGAGAACATGCAGATGACTGAAGTAGTAGCTCAAAAATATGAAGACTGAGAACAGTGCAGTTCTGTGAACTGAAAATTAACACCAAAACAGAAGTTTTCCACAAACCACCTATACTACGGACAGAAAACTAAATCAGTATGCTTGTTTCTGAAGCCCTGTGTGAACATCCAATGAACAAACCAGCTTTTTTCCCCCCGTATCACTATCAAGGATCTTTGTTCTCTAGACCACAATTATAAACCATCCTCATTACAGATTAAGCCAGCCTTAATAGAGGTCCGGACTAAGAGAACTTCAGATTCTTAGAACAAAGAGCAACATCAAATCAAGATAAAAATTGAGCATCAGATGTCTGAAGAGTTTATGTGAGTTAAAGAATCTGTGACTAATCTCCCTGCTGACAAATCCACACAAAAAGTTAAATAACTTTCCCACAAGCCCTGCAGCACAGCCCATAGTGGTTTAAGAGATTCCCACAGTGATAAAGCAACTTCCTGGTTATTCCTGTCTTAGGGGCACTGATCTCCCACAAGACTAAAAAGAAAAAAAAAGCCACAGTATTTTCCAATTAGCAGCCCAAACCGACAGAAAATTAACAAGCCACTTAATTCTTCTAAAATGAACCTAGTTCAATAGTACAGCACACTCTCTCATGTTCTGAAAGCAAATCTTACACAGTTTAAAGAAATATTCTTAAGAGATGTTGCCTGAGCTACACTTAAAAAATGGACCTGAATGGACTAAGACCCAGCAAAATGAAAAACAGTCGAGGAAACAAAGTAGATAAATCTCAAGGTCTTTTCCAACCTCAGTGATTTAACGGTGCTATGAAAGCAGCCATGTTGACAGCTTTACTCGAAGCCTCTGTCCCCTCTCGGCAGGGCAGTCACATAAACACCCGTGGAAAAACTGTATTCCCCCACAGGTTCCTTTCCCTGTGAGCGCTGAACGCTGTGTGAGCACGCCCTCACTTGCACCGTACTTGCGCTAAGAGAAACCTCGTTTTTCACGCGGCTGAAGGGCGGCACCTGAAGGCTACTTGCCCCAGGCTCTTCACAGGCCGCCGCGCACCCAGCCGGCGCAGGGCCCCGCGGGCCGGGTGCTGTGGCAGCGGCCGCGCTCCCGGCGGGGCGGGCGGCGGGCCCGGCCTCACGGGCGGGAGCAGGAGCGGGAAGGGGAACGGGAAGGGGCGGTGCGGCGAGTGCGCACTGGGCAGGAGCGGCCCGGCCCGGCCCGGCCCCGCCCGCCGCGCCCCCTCCCCTCCGCGAATCCCGCCGGGGGCGGTGCGGGGCGCGAGGCGCAGGCGCGGTCGGGAGGCGCGGAGAGCTCCCGCCCTCCGCGCCCTGTGGGCGCGCCGCCCCCCTGCAGCCCGCGTTTAAAGGCGGCGGCGGCGGCGCCCGCTGCCTCCTGTGACAGCGGCAGTGCCGCTTCGATCTTCACTTCTGGCGGCTGCCGCCATGTACCGCTACTTAGGGGAGCTGCTAGCGTCCCGCCTGGCCGCCGGCTCGGTGCTGGCGGGCGCGGAGCCGGGCGGGCCGGCGGCGGCCGGAGGGGCAGTGGTGGCGGCGGCGTGGGGCGGGGGCCGGTGTCCCCGGCGGCACTACTGTGAGGCGGCAAAGAAGGAGGACGACCCCAACTTCTTCAAGATGGTGGAGGGGTTCTTCGATCGCGGCGCCAGCATCGTGGAGGACAAGCTGGTGGAGGGGCTACGCACCCGCGAGAGCATGGAGGAGCGGCGCCACCGCGTCCGCGGCATCCTCCGCATCATCAAGCCCTGCAACCATGTGCTCAGCGTCTCCTTCCCTATCAAGCGCGACAACGGCGAGTGGGAGGTGATTGAGGGCTACCGGGCGCAGCACAGCCAGCACCGCACGCCCTGCAAGGGAGGTGAGAGCCGCCGCCTCCCTGGGCCCGCGGAGGGCCGGACCGCCGTGCCCCCGGCCAGCCCCCCCGTCCCGCCGCGCCCGCTGCCCGTCCGGCCAGCGAGGGCAAGCGGCTGTCTCCCCGTACCCCCCGTGGTATCCGATAGCCGAGGGAAGGCAGGCGTAGGGCGGTTCCTCCGCAGCCCTAGAGCGCTCCGCTGTCCCGGCCCCGCGGGTGACACCCGGGCCAGCTCCGGTGCCGGGTGTCGCAGCTGCCGGTCGGGCCTTCGCCGCACCCACCGCCGGTCCGGCCCTAGGCATGGCGAGGAGAACCCCCGCCTAATTGTAGCCCGATGTGACTCAGACCTCGATAGTGTTTGTAGGAAAACGCGGGCGCACAATGCTAGAAGTGCCTGCTCGAGTCGAGAGCTGGAGGAGCCACTGTCCCTTCATACTCAGCCTTCTGTGTTCGCGAAAACCTGGTACTCACACAGAAAACATCTGTAGAGAAAAATAACAAGTTAACTGTGTTTCTCGTTACCGGCTGGATACATAGTTAGACAAAAGTGATTTTTCTGGAAGTAGATCCCTCAAGGTAGGTAGGTGAGACCAACGACATGCCGAGGGACCGGGAGGGTGAATCCCTCTGGAGCTAAGCAGGGCTGGGCTCATGGGATCGGCCGTCATGTCAGAGGAATCAGAGTCCCTTTTAGTCTGGGATAGATAGCATCTCCTTGAAAAACAAATACAGATGTCCTTCAGCATAACTTCCTCAAGAGCTCTGATGTTTGTGGACATTTGAGTGTTGGAAACCATTTCAGGTCTGTGCCTCAAACCAGAGCTTCTGTAGTCTGTAAACACATTTTTTTTTCAGTGTACATCAGCTTTATGGTAAATAATGGTTACAGAAAGCAAGTGATTTCTTATAAATTAAGTCCTCTGACTTCAAGACTAGATTAGGAAGGGTGTTCCTAGGTAAACGTGTTTGTGAGAATCAGTTCAGCTGGTATATATATATGACATGAGGATTTCTCTCTGCAGCACAAATAGTGTGTCCTGTTAATGTGATTCCTAACATTCCAAAATCAAATAGCTAATGAGTTTCCTGTGACATGATAAATTCTTAGCCAAAAGAGGCTAACTCAACTTTTGGTTGTTTACTTGAAGCAAGAATTAGCATCAGACTTAGTTGTAGCTGAAGTTGGGTGTGGCTGAAGCTTACTCTGTGTGAATCTATGCCATTGCTGTAATTTTTTTTTAAATCCTGATGGATATCACACTGCTGTTGTATCACTGCTTCAGTTAAGTTACTCTTTTCTGCTGCTTGCAAAAAGTCCTTTGCTGTACAGCCTGTGTTACTCTTAAGATCCTGCTTGCATAACAAAATGCAGTCCAGTGGCAAATTAAGTAATGAAATAATATTGATATACGATAGCTTCTAATATTTCACATTAGTATTGCTCCTAAGTGAAGGAACTAATGTTTATGCAACAAATAATTATAAAATGCACTGTATGTGAACAAACCCCACCAGCTGGGTTGGGTGATTGGACACTCTCTGTTCTGATACCTAAATTACTAAATCCTCACCAGAATTTCTTGATTTTCAGTGGCATTTGTTATGCCTGTCTGCACTCACGCTGGAGCACTTATAGGCAATTGAAAATGACAGCTACAGAAAGGAAGTCTCAGTAGTTTGTACTTTTCTTGTGTTGCTCCCCCACCCCCTCTGAATTTAGGGAAGGAATTGCAAATGATATTTCCTTTCCATTCTTAAACACAGAGATCATGAATGGATTTCACCTTCTACTGCTCTCTAGGAATTTGCTCACTATCAGGTGACAGATCTGAATTTGTAGTAAATTTAAATGGGATGCATGATAAGCATAGATCAGTTGCTTGAAACCTGCTATGAAAAAGGTGTGAGGAAGCAGAACATTTCTACTTTAATGACAAAGGCGCAGTAAAGGTATTTCTGCATTTATAGTACATTTGATCCGCCTGAAATTCACCAACAACTTGAGCTTTTGTCTGAAAGGCTTTTTTGAACTAGAATCTTACAACAGTCCACAGGGATAAAAGCACAAAGTCCAATGAAATACAACTCCAAACTCTATATAATGGTATGAAATAGGGAAGCTTGCTGAAATGAGTGTCCCACACACTGTGGACCCCAGAGTCCAATGCAAGTAATTAACACCATCAAGGAACAGCAGGGGACATACGGCTCCCTTTTAAAAGAAGGGATGAGTTAACAAGTGGAAGGCTTGCAAAGACGTTGGGAAGAACACAGTTTCCACATCGTTTCACATGCAGAATTGTGACCTTAACATTTGTGCTTCCTAAAAAGTAAACTTTGATAAAACAAGGTTACTTGTTTTGCACTTTTTAATTTTTTATTTTTTTGAGTGTGTGTGTCCTTGCTACTAAGAAAGAAATGGTTATTTACTAGAATAGTTGAGTTTAGTTACTGTTAGGTGATTGCTAGCAAGTGGGGATGCTTTGCTGTGTCTATTCTTTCAAGCGGCATTGTGCTTTAAAGGCTCATATCTCTTGGGGTTTATGTAAACTGAAGGATAAGAGATGCTGGTTACAGAATATTAAATACTGTTCTGTATGCAGATTAAACAAATGATCAAAGTACACTTTAAGATTCAAGTCGCAAATGTAGGAGTACAAAAGTTTTTTGGTCTTTTAAAGCTTGTCCTCTTTTAATTGTTCCTAATTTTTTCAGTACATTCATACCAAAATACTTCATTAGCGATTGTATGTTACTTCTGCATGCCTTTCTGTTTATAAGGGCATTTACAGATTTAACCATGAACTAATCAAGAATTTTAAAATCTTGATTTAAATGCCCTAGTCTTGGAGACAGCTGAATTAATCAAAGAAAGAGTCTAAATAAACATTTTAATTATAGGCACTTTAGCAGCACCTTTTTATTTCTACTAAATATTTGTAGTTAACAGTATAACATGATATTTCTATCTGAGATGTCAATTTCTTTGCCTGCTTATTCTCTTCTGGAGTGAAACCTCAATCTCAGTTTGGTGTTCCAGCCCAGATATGAAAACTGCCAGACTTTAAATGCAAGGTTTATCTTTATAAATCTTACATGTGCAGGCAAATGATATCTGCTAGCACAAACCAGCAGTTCCTTGACTGGTAGTCCTTCACCTCCTCTGTGCTGGTTTCTCTTTTGCCTGCAAAGTAGGAATACCTCAGCAGAGTGAATGCCATGAGAGGACTGCTTTGAAAAATCAGGTCCTGAATGCATGGATGACTATGGCCTGATACAGCTGCATGAGGGAAAATCCAAGATCATCAGCCTTACATTTTTTCTGTATAGGCAAACTCCTACACCATGGTGAGAAACTTGACTGTCCTATTTCTATTCAAGAAGTACAATGCTCTTAATACCCTAATTCTAACAATCAAAAGCATTGTTAATAAAAGGAGAATATTTAAAGGCTTATCCTACTTTCCTCTCTCCCCCAAAAGCACATGTAAGAACACAAGTCAGCTTGGTTGTGTTGGATGTAGCTGTCGTTACATAGCAGTGCAGGTGACTCTTCATTGGGTGAAGAAAAGTGCTTTTCTGGAAAAGAAGCATGAGGTACTGAAGTATGCTTTCTTTTCAGTTTACAACTTCTGGTGGCTTTTTACCTTATGGAGAGAACCCAGAAATAACACTTCTTGTTTAATTTTGTGGTGCTTACCAGTTTAATTGTTGTAGAAGTTAATCCTTAATTCTGCTTTGGGGGTTGCAAACTCCTGCAACTTGAGAAGGTGGTGATTCTTTTTCTTAGCAGTGCTTCTCTGCTGTACTTTAGGAATCTTTACAGAACAGTCATAAATATCCCCAAGTGGCAGATCTTGTAGTATGTCCAGCATGCAAATCCAGGTTTTAAGGACACCGTTTTCTGCAATGTAACTTTTTGCTAGAAAGGAAAAATCAGTTAGATGCCTCCTCATCCCACTGAGAATATGGAATAAGCAGTTTTCTTGTGTGTTGGAACTCGGGTTGCTTACGCTCCACGTGTAGTATTTATACAACTGGATTGATGCTGCCTGGTAGCTGAAGTAATGCTGTGGGTCACATCACTCTTTCCTTTGCTGATGTGGTGACTTGCATGCCAGTGGCCAGTACTAACAGGAAACCACAA